TAGGAGCTTATCATTACCCTTCATCAATGTGTTGACTGAGACATTTAGCATATCGATTATGAATTTAAAAAAATGTTTAGGTTTTGCTTTGAAAGAAATTGGGAGTTAGTAGAAAATCTGATCCACAGCAAGACAGATATGATGACAAGGATCCTTCTGGCTTCTCTGAAGAGAGTAGGTTAGGAGGGGACAAGAGTGGAAGCAAGGAGGCAGTGCGGAGGCTGTTACAGTGACACAGGCAATTGGCACTGGTTCTTCAGATTAGGGTGGGGGCAAGAAGGTAGAAGCAGCTGTTACGGGTATGGGTAGCATCTAAATACAGAGTCTAAAGAATTTGATGACGAATTAAATTTTTTGTGTGAGAAAAGGTGACTCAAGGATAATCAACTGGAAGGACAGAGGTGTGACAACTGAGGTGGCAAATGACAAAGATTACAGACATGAGAATATATTTTAGCTATTTAATAATAATATGGACTGATATTTCTATAGCAAATTGAAACCTAACCTAGGCAACTTAGTGACTTAGTAAGACCCTATCTCAAAATTAAAATAAAAGGGGGCTGGAGATGTAGCTCACTGTGAAGGCCCTGGGTTCAGTCTCCAGTACTGAAAAACACTTCATAAATTTCATTGTTGGTAAGACTGTGGAGAAATAAGCACTGTAGAGCACTCCTAATGGAATTATAAATTTATGAAGAATTTCTGTTTGTGTATGGTTGTACATGCCTGTAATTCCAGCACTTCAGAGTTTGAGGCAGGATGATTGTTGTGAGTTTGAGGCCAACCTGGGCTACATAATGAGACCCTGTCTCAAAAAAAAAAAAAAGAAAGAAAGAAAGAAAAGAAAAAGAAAAGTTTGGTGGACAGTCTTACAGTCTACATAAAGTTTAAATATTCAAGTCCTTTGACCCAATAATTCCATTTCTGAGGACTCAATCTACTGAAAAATGTCACACACTTGAGGAGAGATATAAACATAAAGGTGTCAAGCTAAACAAAATGATTATCATGGCATTATTGTCTATAATAGTGAAAAATTTGAAACCACCCAAGAGTTCATCAATAGGAGAATGGCTAAACAAATTATCCTATCTCCATGTCATGGACTAGGATGGAACATTAAAATAGATGAAGTAGATGTAGTTGGGCATAATGACAGAGATACTAGAAATCCTTTCATTAATAGAATAATAGAAAATACCTGCCTTCTTGGTCCCACGGGATTCTGAGCCACCAGCACCAACTACATGGCTTACTTACTTCGATGGCCTCCTAACAGGTGTCCTTGCCTCTATGTGTATTCACCCTCAATCTACTCACAACCTCAAAGCCAGAAGGATCTTTTAATATGCAAATCAGATTAGGTCTTACTTTTGTGGAGCTCCTCCACTAGTTCCCAATTTTTCTCAGGGTAAAAGCTACAGAAAACAAAGCAAATTGCAGAACAATCTGTACACTATGATCACCTTTATGTTAAGGACAACAAACAAAAAGGTTAGGCTGATTGTATAGCTCAGGAATAAAGCATTTGTCAAACATATATGAGGTCCTGTGCTCCCTACCCAGCACTAGAAAACAAACAAAAAAATAAAAAGAACAAACAAAAAAACCCAACATGTGTTTGGTATGTGTGTAAATACATAGAAAAAGATCCAAGAAGAGTGCTTAGCGTCCTTTGTGAGCCTCGGCACAGAACTATACATGTGGTGAATAAATGAGGACAAACTTTTTTCTTTTGAGTACAGTACTCACTTGTTTTTCTGAAATTTCTTTGCAACAAAAGTGTATTGCTTTTGTAACTTTTAAAGTAAAAACCAAGGATAAATCAAACGTCATGTATTTCAGAAAGTTCCCAGGAGAATCCTGGAGGCAGAAGTATTTTTGTTACAGTGTAATGACACTGGGCCACTGTGCAGCGTGATGGGAACAGCTTCTAATGCCTGCTATGTGGCCTTGAGAAAGACACAACATTTCTGAGCCTCAGTTTTCCTATATAGAAAAATGTAGCTAATCTCTGTTCTATTGGACAGTCAGAAAGACAAAATGGAAAAATACTTCAAAGCACAGTAAAAATAAGAATATTAATATTCCATATGCCAGTTATGGGCCACTTCTTTTGAGTAATAGTCGATTAACATTAAAATTCAGTTGCAAGCCAAAAGAATTTGAATGATCTCTTTGAGTTTGTTTCAACAGAATTCCTTCTGTTCCAGCTAGGTTATACATAACAGCAGTATAGGCATTTTAAACGTTCAAGAGTGAACAGTGTGTTTTATATTCATATGAGATATCCTGGTGCCAATGGATTTTGGCAATACCCTTAAATCATACCCTCTACTGCACCCATTTTAGGCCAAGCAGCTTCGACACATTGATTAGTCAGCAAGTTCTTCTCTACTTAGCACCTGCATTTTACCTAGTACTCCCTTGTGGATAGGTAGTAATACATACAAGATTTGTCTAGAACTATCCCAGTTTATGCTCTCACAGTTGATTGCTAATATTGCCCCTTTCACTCTAGGAAGTGTCCTAGTCTTAATGATCAATTATGTGATCACTTTGCTATGGTCACTTGTGGGGCATGGAAAGAAACACAAGATCCCCTGGATTACAAACACCAGTATTATGAATCACTTTCCCCATATCACCCCCTCACTACTGGGAATGCCTATGTTAGGGAACCCATTGGGAAGACCTTAGGTCTTTCGAACATTTGGTTGACATAGAGGTCAAGGCATAACCAAGACTGAGAAGAGCTGGTGTCAACCTCTCTTTAGGGTCATCTTTATCTAAATCTATATCTTGTTCTGCAAAACTCCCTCCCCCATGCCATTTGTATTTACTACATTGCTTAGTCCTCCTGGTCAGAGATTTATTTGGAGAACAGAAGTATCCTATTTTAAATAGTACAAACAAGTCTAGGAATGTTTGTGAAAAGTTATTTTCCCCCTTCAAATGAACCCAGAAGATGTGTTTCTTTGTGCAAGGGATGAAAATGTTTCTGGGAGGAACAGGAATAGAAAGGAAAAGGACATTTTGGAACATGGAATACTAGGGGTGAGAATTTCCTCCATGGGAAGCTAGAGACATAAGGAATCTTGAGGCTGAGGTCAGAAGGGAAGGTAGATATTGGAGACATGTCATACTCATCTGGGAGAAATGTCTTGTTCACAACTCTTGTCTTCAGAAAATAAAGGACTGTTCTTTTTCTACTTGCTGTGGTTGTCTCCTCCTGCTCTATATGGCCCAGCATCAAGAATTGAAGCTAGTGCTGAACTGTGTGCTACACAAGTCTGGTAATGACACCTTCATGCAGCATCGCTTTTCTGGGAGTGTGTGTTTTGGGTTACATTTTGAGACACATCCTTTCATAACCTGGAAAATACCCCTCATAACCAGATTCTTCCCTCAAAGAGGTTCACAGTCACTGGAGTTAGGGCAGACGCAGTTACAAATAGGAAACTACTAGAGAGCAATCAAGTCTCTACTGCGGAGTACTGACTGACTCTAAGTGGCTAAATTAATCTGATTTTACAAAATCTAAATCTCTGGTTGGGGGAGCCCAGAGAGGGGCAGTAGTTAGGTTCATGGAGTTCTTTCTAAATAATAGCATGACTGAGATGTCCTAAGAATATACTTGTATAACAAGAGGAAGGAGAAGAAAACCTATAGTGAAAAACATCACCTGGAACCAAGGTTGGCATCAGACACTAATATGGATGGAAAACCTAAAGGAAGAAAAGGGCTTTCTGAGGTGCAAGAGGAAATTGATTTGCCTAAGATGGGGTCAAATATTTTCTGTAAACTAAATTTCATAAAACATATTACTTGAAACTTATGCATATTTTATGTGACTAAACCATTTGAGGCAATAAATTTTGACAGTATTTTTCAGGTGGATGATTTAATGTGGCTAAAGTTCAGATATGGTAAGGAACAGATCTTAGAATGCTGGGAACTCAGGTGAAGGACTTTGAACTTGCTATGCCTTATTATTCAAACTACTCGATTAAGATTAGAACATTGGTGTAAGGTGATGGAAGAAGTTGGGGAGACCACTTAGGAAGCTGCTATGGTATCCAGAGGTGAGGAGCTGAGTGTCTGGACCATAATGGGAGCAACAGACTGGAGAAGTGACAATATGAAAGTTACTGTAGAGTAGGAAACAATGCAATCTACCGATCATATGGGAAGAGCCAAAGAAGACATTTAGATTTATCAGTTTAACATAAGCATGAAAGGACATTTATTAGAAGTTTATGGTCACATGAAGGCTTCTCATTTGTGTAGTTTCCCCAGCCTTCCTAGTGAACCCCCATTTCCAAAGAAACCCCATAGAATATGTTCAGTAAGTTAATTCTCCAAAGCTTTATACCTCTCTAATGAAAATCTTGAAACATTCATTCACTAACCTAATTTTGAAAAATTAGATCAGCAAATAAGTGCTATAAAGTTTTGAACTCGGGAAACATAAGCATATAATTCATTCTCTTACCATTTATGGTGGAAAAAAGTGAAAACTGCGTTTTCCAAAACAAAGTGCCATGTCCACAGTCTATTCACATAGGTATGAATTATTTTTCACTTCATAACTCCTGTGCCTTTCCTATAAACCCCATCTCCCCAAGAAACCCTACAGCATTAATTTACTAACCTAATTTGTAAAAGAAGGTTAGTGAATCAATACTATAAGACTTTTATAGAAATGTATGGATTCAATTATCCTGGTCAGCTTTTGTTTACATGGGCTCTCTGCCAATGATATATTCCCCCCTGTACAATTTTTAAAGATTACTTTAACAATGGGACTTAGAGAATCTGTGTACAAAGAGCTTGAAGATTCTAAATACATGGGTTTATTATTAACACAGTTGCAAATATATCAAGGAAACACCCCATGAAAAGTGTTTCAAAGAAACAGAAGTCTGCCCTGAGAAAGTTCTGTACCCAATAAGTAAGCTCAAAGAGGAACGTTTGCTTGGTAGTGCCCAGCAGATAAGCTTGGCAAACCTCTGGCTGATTGAGGGAGCCAGTTTGAGACTCAGCCTAGCTCAGGCAGACTCCTGGCTCAGGCAGACTCCTGGAACCTGCATTCTCGACCCCTCAACACAATGGTATTCGCATTTTGGAAGGTCCTTCTGATTCTCCACTGCCTTATAGGTAAGGAAGGACGCTACAATTCACCAAATGTAACTGGAAATGGAGTTCCTCTTGGAGTGAAATTGTAAATTTTCGCATTGAATTTTCCTCTCTTGTACTTCAAAGGAATTGTGATTCGTATACTGAATAATTTTTGTAACTTTGCTAAGCAAATTTAGGAGGCCAGACTGTAGTAAAATTGTTATGGAGTTCCTGAGTTGATTTTTTTCAGAAAAAAGTCACAATAACTTTCTATATTGGGTTTGAAAGGTGAATAAATTAATTTGTTCAGAAATGGAAGTTTGTGCTAAGGAGAAGTTTTTCTCTGCTTCACTTTGGCATTTCCTTTAAGCTTACTGTGTTTTACTTGCTTGGCTATAGCAATCAGAGCCTGTGTTGGCACCTGCCCTGACTTACATTTGGAAGAAGAGAGATTTACTGAGTGCTTTATTGTCTAATATTTCTTGCGAAGCTGCAGTTTTCCAATCCAAAGACTGTATTTTAGAAATGTATGGGTGGTTTTTTTATTGTGCATAGTATGAGTGATTTTAGGAATTTGAGCAGAACAAAATCATTTCCAGTGTTAAAATCCCAATGTTGGTTCAATGAAGTGGAGATCACTAATTCAGGAAACCCGTGGGCCAGTTCTATTCAGTGCCAAATACATTTTGAATTTCTTCTTATAATTGTAGATCCAAAGTGGATAGTAATTATTACCTATTGACTAAAGATTGATGTTTTAAAGCCATCAGGAATGTTAGGCAGGGGCCAGGGAGAGGGCTCAGCGGAATAAGCACTTCCCTGGCAAGCACAATGGCCTGAGTTCAATCCCTAGTTCTGAAAAAAAAAAAGAATGTTAGGCAGTATTATAATGAAGTTTATTAAACATATTTAATGCTACAAGAAAATGCTCACGATAAAATAATAAGTGAAAAAGCAAGGGGCCTGGATTTAGCTCAGTGGCACTGCACCTGCCTGGCAAGAATGAGGCCTTGAGTTTGATTTCTGAAACCAAAAACACCAGGACATACAAATACCTTATGATGAAGTACTAGAAGCTTATGTAATGAAGCACTCATGGTTGTCATCTCTGAATGATGGAATTATAGATGATTTGAGTTTTACTCCTCAGCTTCCATACTTTCCATTTTTTCTACAGAGAATATTATATTTTCTTTACGGTGATGGTGGAGCTCAAGTTTGAATCCAGGGCCTAGCATACAAAAAGCAGACACTGTGCCATTGAGCTATATCCCACCCATCATACTATTCTTATAATTAGAAAAACAAAGTGAAGTGTCAGTTTTCAGAATTATCTTGTGGTTGGTAATAATCTTTTAAATATTCATTACTAAATATTTAAATAAAGATATTGTATGGAGTAAAAAATCAGGGGTGGGGAATACTGTGTTTATCCAAGATTTAAACAGGCTGTAGAGCTGGAAAAATATATTATTCTTTTTCATCCCTCTAAGAATATTCATTCAAATGTGATTTTACACAGTGAATGTCTTTGAATCTTCCTAAGGATTTCAAATTGGATCAAAATCATAAGCCCTGTGTACTAGTGCTCTAAGAATGTACCTATAGTCGACATTTACTTCCTTATGTGAGGCCTTACCCTAGCTGTGCTAGACATACATTTGGAGCAGTTGTAAGAATATACACACCCACACACACATAGTAGTGATCATAGATAAAATGCATAGTCATTGTGAAAAGGTTGGAAAATATGAAAATATATAAATAAGAGAATAAGAATCACAATCTTACCCATTAAAATTTTGGTGATTCTTTTAAATCATTTTTCTTTAAAAGGCTTGTATCCTGTATACAATCCTGTATATAATTTTTCTTTTTACTTTTAGTTTGTTAGTACACATGTGTAGTACATAATATTTTAATTCCTTGTGGGAGGTTGGTACATGTTTATCACACATCTTAATTCCTTTATTTTATCCTATTTCCCTTTCCTTCCTCCCTCCTCTATCCATCTCTTGAATCTCTTCCTTTTATTTTTTTGAAGAGTGTGTACATGTTTGCAGTTCATAGTTTACAATCCTTGTTTTCAGTAGATACATGTACAAAATTAATCTTAATTCCTTTTTTCCATCCTTTATCTCTTCACTCCCTCACCTCCCTCCATCTTTTGTTCATGTCTCCCTTTGAGAATGATCTCTCTCCCTGCTTCCCATTACCTAGATTTTATTTTACTCTTTATTTCCATTCAGTGTTTCTCTTATAAAGAAACCATGTGATATTTTAGCTTGTGTGTCTGATTTCTTTCACTTAACATTATGGTCTCAAGGTGCATCTATAAATTTTCTATTGTGGAAGAATTATTTAGCTTGCTCTAAGGGTCTTATTTGTGGCTTGTAGAACAAGCTCTAAATGGTTATAACAACAACAAACCAATAAAATATAACAACATTGTTTTCTGTACTTGTTTTAGAGATAATGTCACCTCTTGGTGTCAAGTATGGTTCCGGGAATAGAGTGAGCACATGGTAAATGTTTGCTGAAAGAAACAATTACCTTCCCAAACCCCAAACAGCCAGAAATAATTTTCGTATACATATCTCAAATCAATTTTCTGTGCAGCTAAACACAGATTTTATTTTATTGGTTTGTTGTCATTATTTAGTTTTTTAAGGCAGGGTCTCACTATGTAGTTCAGGCTAGCTTTGAACTCAAAGTGATCCTCCTGCCTTAGCGTCCTGAGGGTGCTGGGATTACAGGTGTGCAACACCATACCTGGCTAGCAGATTTTATTTTCATCAAAATGTTTTGCATGACTTCTTAGGCGGTCTTAATTTAAATTTCAATTCAGAAAAGGTAATTTTAAAATTAATTTTATTGGTATACTTTTGATATACATAATGATAACACTCATTGTAGAGAATTTGTACCTGTACATATTTTTATTTTCATTTTTTTCATCATTCACCTACCCTATCTTACCCTCCTTGTTGGCAAAAGCTGTGTTTTAATGTTTTTGCTCTATTCTCTCTTTCCCTTTTCTCTTCCTTCCCTTCCTCCTCTCCCCTCTCTTACTCCCCTTCCCATTTTAATATTTTCTATAGGGACAAAAACAGATGATAGATGTTTGGAAAAAGTAATTTAATGCCAATTTCTTCTGCAAAAAATCATGCATATCATTTATGTAATATGTATTAGTTACCTTTTGGGAACGATATGTTAATATTGTTTTCATATTCTGGAGATGTGTATTATGCTTTTGAAAGCACTAGTACATTTTAACTGGTTTTGCCATCAAATCTAAAAAGTGAGTGATCATTTGGTTATATTCCTGTGTAGCTCAAAACCGAAGCAACTATGCATGGACCTGTTGGATACTAAATCACTTCAAATGCATCCAGTTCAATATAAATAATTGTGCAATTATGTTTTTTTATGAGCAGAATATATTTATTGAGGGAAAGAAAGCTCCTGTTCAAGAGAGGGACAGGAGGGGGGCTCCAAGCGGGTTGTTCCCTGCAATTATGTTTGCTGTGGTATATTAGTAAGACTATCATCCTCCAAATAAGCAAAAGCTTGTCCCATTGTAGCCAGTAAATAAATGAATGATCAATCATTACTTAAACAAAGGTCATTTAAAAATCTTTTTTCAAATGTTGATTAAGGGGCTGGGAAATAGCTCAGTAGAATAAGTGCCTGCCTGGCAAGTGCAAGGTACTGAGTTCAATCCCCGGTACTGCAAAAAAAAAAAAAAAAAAGTTGATTAAGTGTGTATGCTGTGGATTATTTTCCCTTAATGATAAGTACTAATTTTGAAAAGAAACTATACATATTACAATTATGTATTCATTTTTTAAATCAATCAGGTCAATAAAGAAAACTGCAATTCTTGGATTTGTTTAAATTACTTAGTAGTCTTTAGCTTGTTATGCATTCATAGTCATATAATGTAGATATTTTTCTGACTTTCTCAATTTTAAAATAATTGTTCAGTTTAGAATGATTTAGTCCAAAGGAAGGGAACTGTTTTTGTTGTAAATTTTTGTTTTGATTTTTAAGAGAAGGTCTTGCTATGTAGTTCAGGTTGGAGTTGAACTCACTGTATACCCCAGGCTGACCTTAAACTCACAGAGATCCACCTGCCTTAGCCTCCCAAATGCTGGAATTACAAGCATGTGCCATAAAGCTAGTCCTGATAGCAATTGTTTTCTGCTAACTCATAACAGCTTCTAGTTTAAGACTATATTTTACTGTTCACTATACTCGTGTGGTTATCCAAATTTAATTTTAATTGACTATAATTGTAACATCACTTTCTCAGTCTTACTAGCTACATTTCAGGGGCTTAATGAGTACATATAGGTAGTGGCTATTGAACCATGCAGTGTGGAGGTAGAACATTTCCATTTTCGCAAATACTCTGTGGGTGGGCGCTGGGTTAGAGATAAACTCAGAAGTTTAAATAATGTGGGCTAAATGAATGATGTTACACTTCAAAAACATCTAATTTTAAATTACATAGCCCTTAGTTCTGCAGAATATTAGTTTCTGCATTGTATTAGGGATCGGACAGTGTCTGAAAACCATCTTTTCTTCTGAATTGAAGAATGAATTATGGTGCTGAGCATAGGGACTCTGGGCAATAAACTGATGCAGTGGCTTGCCTTGCCCTTTGGTACCTGTTTACATGATAGTGTGCTGTAGCCTTAAAATATAGCATCTCATTTTTTTTTCTTTTTTTAAAATTTTATTTATTTATTTGTGTGTGTGTGTGCGCGTGTGCGTGTGTGTGTGTGTGTGTGTGTGTGTGGCCAGCTCAGCCCACCAGGGGGCGGGACTGGCTGGCATGTGGTGCTGGGGGATTGAACCGTGGTCCCTGTGCTTTGCTAAGCTTGTTCTAACTAGGTGCTTTAAACCACTGAGCCATCTCACCAGCCCCTAGCATCACATTTTCAATTTTGAAGGGCCAGGGATATAGCTCAGCAGCATAAGTGCCTTCCTGGCAAGTGCAAGGTCCTGAGTTCGATCTCTGGTACCTAAAAAAAAAAGATAGGGTTCATTTTCAATTTTGAAATTACCATCTTAATTCCAATGTGATACTGCTGAGCTTTTATAGATCTCAAATTAGTTACAGGTTTATTTGTCTTCAATTTTTATTTTTGTCTTCTATTTTTAAATATCAGAAACATTTTAATTAGATTTATGGTTCTTGAGTCTTTGGTGCTCATTCACCTTCATCCTGGTCTGTGCTATGAGTGCCTTCCTGTTGCACTGACTATGAGACACTGTGTCTGTGTTGCTCATCACTGTTGTACTAGTGCTCAACAGACATTCTCTGGCAGGCCTTATGACCTCCTCCATGGCTTGCCTTAAATGAAAACTGTTTATTCTACCTTCAAGTACTTTTGTTGAGGCCATCAAAGTTTGGGGGTTCTGTCTGTTTTGTCTTGTTTCTTGCCTTACCAGTTATAAATTTCCACTATCATTCCACCTCATAAGAGATAGTGGAACCTAGAGAACAAAAAAGTGGCCAAGTAATATTGATAAAATCTCTGTTTTTTAGGGAAAAGATGCCGGGAACTTTAGTGGCTGCCTAGTCCCCAATTCTATCCCTTTTATTTTGGACACTCTAAAGACGTTTGTGTAAACATTTAAGTACAGACATAACCTCCAAGAGAAAGAAAATGAGCTCTTTGTATCTTCCTCCAACAGAGGGAGCCAGCTTTGTCCAGAGAAGTTTATGTTGGAAAGAATAGCTACTTTCTGAAGGTCAATTTCCTTGTTTATGGAGACTATGGGAACAAGGAAAGCATGGGGGGGGGAGGTTGCAAGAAAGAATCTGAATGCAATCAGAAGACGCTTTGCTCTTGTCTATGCTAAACACTTCTCTCAATTCATCAGTTCACTAAGTGCCATGTAAGCAGCTTCTGTCTGCATGAGCCTGGCTGGGGCACGAATGCACTTACTGAATCCAGGAAACAAGGCATACACACTACAATGGCTTGCTTAAAGAAAGGAAGTGTTTGTCAGACCCCTAAGTTCTTTTCTCTGACTGCTGTCATTAAGAAAACTAAGAAATGAAGAAATCTTTGGGTGTGCCACTTTTCAGCTTCTATTTAAAATTTTTTAATTTATTTTACTGGTACACTATAGATCTACACAATGATCACATTCATCATAGGGAATTTGTACCTGTATATCATATATTTTTCTCTTTTTTTCCAATCCCACTGCTCATTTCAACCCATCTTTCCCTCCCTATTTATGAAGCTTTATTTCCATTTTATGTTTTATTTTTTTTCCTTTTTCCCTTTCTACCTTTCCCCCTTTCCTCGCCCTAGTTTCTCTTTCATTTTGAACAATTTCTTCCCATTTCACAGTATCTATTGTACATTTTGGTTCTTATTTACTCTCTCAGTTTCTCACACCAGAGGTATAAGGCAATGTATACACATGTGAGCAATCCTGGATAATTTTTTAAAATATTTTGAAATAGGCAGTCACTATGTAGTTTAGGGTGGTCTTGCACTTACTATGTACTACAGGCTGGCCTTAAACTCACATGGACCCTACTGTCTCAGCTTTGGAATGCTGGGATTACAGGTGTGCACCACCATGCCCAGCCCTGGAAAATTTTATCTTCTAGCTTTGCAATGGATAATAACCACTTAATTGGATGAGCTAGTGCCTCTTAATATTGGCCAAAATATTTTCACCTGTCACAGGAAAGTACTTATATAATATGTGGAATTTCAGTAAGTGGTAGGCTGGATTTTTTGGTAGGAGACTCTTTGGTATTTGTTGTGGTTTGTGTATCGGTGTCCCCCAAGCCTCATGCAGTCTTGGGACAGCTTCTGGAGTTTGTGATTGATTATTGTGGGTGTGGATGCTGCACCTGCCCCGGCAAGTAATTTGCATTACAGTATAAGGAGGGAGAGAGGCTAGCTGCCTGAGCTGCTGCCCTTCCCTTTGATCTCTGCTCTTTGCCACCACCAAGAAAGTTTGCTCTCTGCCATGTGCCACTCTGCCTTGGAGCGAGCTGAGTATGGACTGAAACCTCCAGTAACTGTGAGCTAAATAAACCTTTCCTTCCTTCATTGTGGGTGTCGGGTATTTGTCCTAGCAATGAGAGAAGAGTAACTGAGACAGAATTCTTGCAAATTGCATAGACACTTAATCAGTTTTGTAAACTCAACAGTTCTCAAAATTTGTGGTCTTGTACCAGTATATACTCTTAAATTTTAAAGATATTTCTGGGCTGAGGAGATGGCTCAGTGGAATAAGTGCTTGCTTGGCAAGCACAAGGTCCTGAGTTCAATCCCTGGTACCACCAAAAATAAATAAATAAATAAATAAATAAATAAATAACAGTGAAAACTGAGGTGAGGGAGATGGCTCAGTAGATTAAAGATATTTCTGTTTTAGTATATGTGCTGCCAGTATGAGCACTAAAAGATATTTCTAGTCTGGACAATATAGCATAGACTTGTTTCTTCTTTCTTTTCCCTGCTAATCACAAATACAAACCCTAGAAATAAAGCAAGACAAAGCCAAAAGAGAACTCTGAAAAGTGTAAGAAGAAAACATAGTAGTTGGGGATGCTGGGAAAAACAGAGGCATGGTTTATCTCCCTCTAAACAGAAGGTCCCAATCCTGGAATTTCCTAATCACTGAACTGATAGCAGGGAGCAGCCCAGGTGAGTGCATTCTTCCTCCACATTGCATTAAGACTCCAAAACATCAAGTGAGCCAACTACTACTGAGAAGGAGGAATCATTAGAAGCCCTACTGATACCAATGGGCATAACAAGCATTTTCCTTGACTGGGCCTGAGATCCCCCACTTCCATCTAGAGATGAGAGCAAAGTGGAAAGGAGGCAACAAACAAAAGGGAGAAGGCGATGGCAAGTGGCCAACTTAAAAGGCTCTTCAGGTCTATAACTCCTCTGCCTGCACAGTGACACCAGGACAACAAGGGCACCAATAGGAATGTCTCCCACTGAGAAATCTTTGGCAACCTGAATTAAGGAGTTTTTTAGTTCCCTCAGGCAACATGATCAGGAACAAATGGAAGCTCCAGTCATACTAGCTAAATGAATAGGCCACTATCACACTGCAAAGACCTTGAAAACTAAAATGCCATTAGAACTACCATTACAAAAATTGTCTCAGACCTGTATGTGAGACCTATGTAAGATTACTGTATGCTAAGATAAAAGATTTAAATAGGAGTGCTGTAAAACAAGATATTGTTCAATCAAAAATCATATGGCATGCACTGGTCTATAATCTTAGCAGTTTAGGATGGATTAGGAGGATCACCACAAATTCAGGGCCAACCCAGGCTACATAGTGAGTTCAAGGTGAGCCTGAACTACATAATGAGACCCTGTGTCAAAAAGCAAGCAAACAAGCAAAAAAAGTCATCTGCCATATCAGATGCCAAGAAATGTATAACTTGAATAAAAAGAACAATCAACTAATGCTGACACTGAGGTGAATTATATATTGGAATTATTTGACAAGAATTCCAAAGTAACCACCATAAAATACTGTAACAATAAAAAATTCACTTAAAACAAGTGAAAAACAGAGAATAGCAGAGAAGAAAAAATTATAAAAATATAAAAAGAAAATTCTGTTATATACAGCATGGATGAACCTAGAAGATATTTTGCTAAGGGAAATGATCCAGACATAGAAGGAGAAATATTTAATGCTCTTACTCTTACATGGAATGTAAAAGAGTCAAATACAAGGAAGTAGAGAGTAAAATGGTAGCTACTAGGTGCTGTGCATGATGGATGGGAAATGGGGAGAAATTGATCAAAAGGTACAAACTTCCAATTAGACAAGAGGAATAAGTTAAGACCCATTGCATAGCAAGATGAGCATACTTCATAATGGGGTACTATTTACTTCAAAATTGCTAAAAGAATAAATATCAATGGTTCACACTGCCACAAAGTGGTAAATATATGAGGTGATGGATATGTTAATTTGCTTGATTTCATTCTACCATATATGAAAACATTACATATAACCTATAAATATATTAAAGTACTGTCAATTAAATAAAACTTTCAATAAAAGCAGTAATTCAAATAGGATTCATGCATGATAATTGTGTAGTATTTCTCTAAAGACAAATTTAATGTATAAATTCACCTTCAGTTTTGTTTTTTCTCTTTTCTGAAGTAAGATATCTTTGAAAGTGTTTTGTGACTAAACAACAACAACAAAAAATTATTGTCATCAGAATGTAAACATGTGCTATTATTTTTCTGATGTTTATCTTTTCAGGTAAAGTTAGTGTGGTGCAAGTGACCATCCCAGACAAATTCGTGAATGTGACTGTTGGATCCAATGTCACTCTCATCTGCATCTACACCACCACAGTGGCCTCCCAGGACAAGCTTTCCATCCAGTGGTCTTTTCTCCATAAACAGGAGGTGCAGCCAATTTCTGTAAGGATTCTCTTCTTAAACTCTTCCCCTTTGGTAGCTCTGACTGATAATTGTTGGGGTAAGTGTATGAAGGAATGGTATACCAATGACAACAGTGACAAAATCTGACATATGAAGAGCTTGAAAATAGTTGTTATTTAGGTGACTTGGCTTTTGTGTTCTACTCATATTTATTTATACTGTTATTGCAATTATGATTATATCAACATCATGAAAAAATAGAAACAACTAGAAAAGATAGAAGAGCAACAGTAGTTTTGAAAGAGCTTTCTCCCCAAGTATCCCCTTACTATTTCCAAAAGATTCTGGTTCAAATACAAGCCCTAATAGATCAGCAGCTCTCTACCTAACTTAGTATCTTGCATCTGTCAAGTGAGCTAGCTCAGTGTTCCAGACTGAGTCCTTACAGAAGGAGACTTGGCTGATGGGTGGAGAGGAGCCATGGTAGTGATGAATCCTGGGTAACCAACAGTAGCATGAGACTAGATGTTAGAAGATTAGGCAGGTAGGTATAGGGCCTTGGAGAAAAGTATGCCTCAGAATGGTGGGTGAATGTCACCTGGGGGTAATGATCCACAGATAAGCTGCCCATTCACAGATTTTCTTTATCTGACCTTGAAAATAATTCCTTCTTTAAATTAGCCCAAAGATTAAAATTGGGTATTAATGTGTGTGTGTGTGTGTGTGTGTGTGTGTGCATGCAAATGTGTATGCGAGCACATACAACATGCATGCCTACACATATCCCTTTTGGGGAAAAGGAAATGCATTCATCAAATTCTCACAAAGACACATGCCTCAAAATGGATTTTAAAGAAGAGTCCACTCCTTGTGGTTTGGAATAGTTAGATACCATTGAGTGAGGTCTTAAAAGCTAAGGAAGAAATTGGTTGGTAGAGTGAAAACAAGTTGTGAACTGAGAAAGGCCTAAGGGCAAAGTTGGAGAATAAGGAAGGTAGTGCCTTGAAAGAACCACACCTTGGCCAATGTTGCATCAGCCATTACTGGCCATTTTAGGGTCCTGAGGTCTATCTTTACCAGAGATCCTGAACATTTGCTTGGAAGGAAATATTGTTCAGGGGGAGATTCTATCAATGAAACTCTCTAATTAAAGGTAAACAATTTTAATCAGTGTTCATTACCTTGGAAAAACATTTGAATCACTCAATGCCTTTGTTTAAAAATATAGTTGAGCAATACTACTCATGAAGAGTCAACTGAATAAATGTCAAAATACTTGGAAACAAAGTCACATAAGTTTTATTCCTTGTAAACACCACTATGATTCAGCAGCAACAGAAATGCTAGCACCAATAACAACAGTAATTCTGCCAATTTCCATCACCCAAAATGTCCTGCCCCAAAGCTTTGCATGTTGGAATCGACTAAGAAATTATCACTTTCCTTTCATATTGCTTTTAGAATGTAAATGGCAACAATCACATGATCATTAATTCTTTTTAAAGTCAAATTTCCTATTTTTCCAGAAGGGACTTGAGAGTCCTTGTTAATATATTGTGAAGTGGTTTATGTTTGATTTTCAAATCAAGATGTTCAGCTGTCTGGAAACCAAGCAAACCCAGCCTGAATTTAAAACCACAAACTCTCATGTACGTCTCTTCTGATACTAGAATTTACAGGCTCACCATTCGGTTCCACTGTGTGGCTAGTCAGAAGCTGGGAGGGAGTTGCAGGGCTAAAGGATCTTTTTAACCAGCTTTTTCTAGGTCTGGGAATTGAGGGGGAAGAAGGTATAAATGATTGAATGGAGTGTGGCTTGAGATCAGAACATCTGTTTTAAAGCACTGTAAAGAAAAAAAAGTCAGGGATAATAGTTTATTTACTTGCCATTTACCTCCTTCTCTAGAATGCCAGGTGCATTAATTTCAGCTATTTTCTGCTTTTTGAGGGATGGCAAGATCAGATGAGGACCTCTGCACTGAGCTGCTGGATTAGGGAGAACCTACTCCCTCATGTCAAAACTGTGGGAGACCTGTGCAATGACTGGGCTTAGCCAAGGGAAAGCAAGGTAGAGTAGAGCCATCTCTTGGCTTGAGGACAATGAAGCCCTGAAAGACAAATTTTCTCCTCCTAATTTTCTTATCTTGCTTCAGGCTGCCTAGCCAGATCCTTATTACAACCCTCTTTAGGTCTGTACTTCTAGAGAATGCTAATCCTGCCTTTCTCTCCCTTCAGGCATGTGCTTCTCTTTGCTTTCTCAGAAGAATAATTTTAGAGTTTGAGTGGAAGCGCCTGACACAAGATAGTTTGGCTCCTTGCTGTGCCACTTCCTTACTGGCTGAATGACCCCAGACATGTCACTTCACTTGTCAAAGTTTCAGTTTCCCATCTGTAAAACTGGGGCTACTTACCTACCTCTTAACCTTAATGAGAGAATTCAATGAGACAATGCTTGTGAAGCACTGGAAAGCCATCTAAATTGTAGGCACCCCATGAATATTTACTATTATTAGGATCACTACTCATTAAACAGTGATTTTTGCAAAACCTTAATCCCACCCATGCTCCCTGGTATACCAGAGAAACTGAAAAATGGGCAGCAGGAAATCCAGTCCAACATGAAAACACTTAGTATAACTGAAGAATGAGGATATTCTGGCCCAAGATTGCTTCTCTCTCTGCTGTAGCTAGTCCATGAACAGAGAGTGTTCAGCCAAGGGCATGCCAATGTTCTGGATTTTCCAAACCATAATTGACTTCCATTGTAATTCCTTTTCCTCCTTGAGCGCTTCTATGGGTTTAGAATTGGGTAGAGCACTTTGTATGTTAATGTAGGTATTGCTGGCAGGACATTTTGGGGATGCTGAAAAGAGACTACTACGTTATGAGACAATTCTATGCCATATAAGAGTAAGTTTTTGCCAGACTGACCAATGAGTGATTCAATTCAACTCCTGGGTTTGTGTGGCATTATACCATGTAGCATTCAGCTCTCAGATCCACCCATTTCTGCTCAAACACAGCACAGCCCGTGCCTCAATACTGAGGGTATGGAGGAAAAGACAGTCAGTGAGTGTCTAAAAATGACGCATGCAAGAGACGCTCGGGGAAGATGTAGCTGGACCTCTCAGGTAAGAGCACCTGTTGGTGTACTACTAGACCCCTTCACTGTTAGGCGTCTCTAGAAGTGGGATAGTAGCATATACATTTGGTAACAATGCAGATCCGTACAAGCCCTTGACAGAAATGGGAATATCCTGAGTTTACATTCTCACGTTGATGTGTGGGACTCTTTCTTCCTCCAAGAGATTCAGGGCTCTGATGCTGCCCTGACTAGGGTAGATCTTGCCATATGCCCATCTTCTCCAAATCATTGTGTTAAAAGTAGCGATTGCCCTGTTGATTCTCAGTACACAGGAGTGGGTGCTACATCTTACTGTGTCATATAAGACATTACTTGGGTGAAATGGAGGCTGCAGAAGTGTGCTACAAGTCTTCTAACCTGAAGGGAAGGACATTCACTAGCATAGTTGCTCTCTCAGAGAAGTATTCTCCCTCAAAAATATGGACAGAGGGGTCAGGGAGATGGCTCAGTGGAATAAGCACTTCCCTGGCAAGCGCAAGGGTCTGAGTTCAATCCCTGGTTCCACAAAGAAGAAAAAAATATGGACAGATTCACACAGTCCTTCAGCAATTAATTTCATCTGATAATTCTAGGCCACATATAGCACGGAAGCTTGGGTGATCACACAGATGGCCTCTTCTTCCACTTAGCCTATTACAGTAAAACAACAGAGGCCTCACTTGCATGTGAATAGAACACATGTTGAACCTGCTTGATTTCACAGACAACATTCTTCTAGAATATAGTAGAAGAAACCCTTTTGTACTCTCACATCCCCACATATATGTACAATTTGGACAACTTCTTTCTAGGACATAGTGTCTTTGAGGCCATGGGCTTCTCAGATTTTCCAACATGGACTGTCCTCTACAGGTAGCATATTAAATTCTTTTCAAATGCTGATGTGTGTACATGGAGAAATGTTTCATCAATTCAAGACATTGGAGAATGAAGAAGGTGTTGATTTGATTGCTAGGATGGAGAGTCACTACTAGCATTTAGTGGGTGCTGTCCAGAGATGCTAAATGTCCTCAATACATAGGATGAACCCATACAACAAACTGTCAGGCCAAAATGCTATTGTTACCCTTCCAGAGGAACGTTACAAATCTTGCCTCCATCCCCATCAAAGCTTATATATTTTTGCTTCCATTCCCCAGGTCTCTATATTTGCTAAATCTGGTATTTAATGCTGAAGTATCAGGAAGTAAAGACAGTTTGCACCACTCTCCTCTAAAGAAAAGCATTTATGGACTGTAAGATAGCTTGATGGACTAAGTGCCTTCTCAGGCAAGCGCAGTGACTGAGGTTTGATCCCCAGCATCACATGCCTCACTAGCACTGCCCCTGGGTGCACTGAGCCAGTCAACAAGACTGGGCGTGGTGGCACATGCCTGTAATCCCAGAGCTAGGGAGGCTGAAAACAGGAGGATCACTACAAGTCCGAGCTGTGTAATGAGACCCTGTACCAAATACATTTAAAAAAAAAAGAAATGCATTTAATCAGGGATCCTCCAAAACTCCAAAGTATCACAAGGTAGTAACTCAAATGGTGGAAATCTCAGGTAAATAGCAGAATGGTGTAAAAGTGATTTGGGGACAGGAGAGCCTTTCTCTTCATATTCTATTCAATATATGACTATTTGCAATACCAGCTCCCATAGTACAGAACAAAGAAAATTCTGGACTTGAGACCTTTGCCACCTTATCCCCTTGTCTATCCCCTCTTTACAAGCAGTCTGAGAAAGCAAGAACCTAGAAGCAAAAGAATGGTGTATTGCAGAGGATTTCCTTGCCTTCCACATTTTCTAAAATGATCTTCAAAAATGTCTCTGGAAGCTAAGAACATTTAGAAACTCCAATTCTGATCAGAATAGAAAGCAGATGAATTTTTTCAACACATAGTGTTTATATC